CGTTATGCTCCATTTGTACGCAATGTGTCAATATGCATTCTACTGTCATGTATAACTAATTAGAACAAAAAAAATAAATAAAAAAGTGTTCAATGATTACCTGATTATAGACTGACAGATGTTCTTTAAGTAACATCACTATAGTAGAAAAGTTTTCTTAAAAGGATGAACTGATTCTAGTGATGGAAATCCATTTGCTACAGAATGTGCTATAGAATGGAGGACTCGTTTTAATAAGTGAGTTAATTAGTATTATTTCAATTCACTCATTTTGAAACTGAATTTTACTCACAAAACTCCAGATATTAGCAATATCCCTGAAACAAATGAAAGACCCTCTTATACATTCCAATCAAATGGAAATTAATTAAAACATGAACCATAGCAACAATTTGAACCACAAAATAAATAATGTTAATCATTTGGGTTATTGCCCTTAAAATATAATAACAACCCATTAAATAAATTGAATAAATGGAGAAGAAAAAAATTAACCTTACATGGGAATAGGAACGAATAGTAGAATGGATCAGACATAAATTTCCCATGTTCGTGTATGAATACATGACCAGAGTAACTCCACATCATGTACAAACAGAAGAATGAGAAGTTATACTCCACGTATGTATAATATGTCAAGATACAATCTATTGTCATGTATATCTAAAAATAATAAATTAAAAAAAAATAATTTGGCTTTACAGAAGAATTCCAACTAATAAATGTAAATTAAATGAGGGAAATAGAAAGTCACCATTAGACAAATGACATAGTCATTAGTATCATGATCAAAATCCACCAGAAGATATCAACTCAGGGTGAAAGTTTGAGGGGAAAGAATACAGTCTCAAATCATCTAACCCCAAGATAACTGATAATTACAAAAGGAAAAATTATAACCCTACCATAGAAACCTAGCAGAAGAGATCTGACACCATATTAACCAAATGATCACAGTCAATAAACAACAAAGGTACAAAATCACTGCCATGGTATGGCTTCCAAAAAAAATGCATAATCTCAATCTAATCCTCAAAAGTTATCAGATAAAACTAAATTGAAGTATATTCTACTGAATATACTGATGAGTACTCTTCAAAATGTCCAGGTTATAAAAGATAAAGTAAGAAAAATTTCAAACTGGAGGAAGCTAAGGAAACAGGACAACTTAGTGTTATAAGGGATCTTGGCTTAGATCCTGGACCAGAAAATGGACATTAATAGGAAAATTTATGAAATTAGGTAAGACATAATTTAGATCAAGGATTGACTGACAGTAGCTCTTAAGCTAAATCTGCCTGCTAGGTTTTTGTTTTGTTTTGTTTTGTTTTTGTTTTCTTTGTACCAGGGATTGAACCCGGTGGTGCTTAACCAGTGAGCCACATCCCCAGCCCTATTTTGTATTTTATTTAGAAACAGGGTCTCACTGAGTTGCTAATTGCCTGGCTGTTGCTGAGACTGGCTTTGAACTCTCGATCCTCCTGCCTGGGCCTCCCCAGCCCCTGGGATTACAGGCGTATGCCACCATGCCCAGCTACAGATACATATCTAAATGCAGATTCCCAGGCTCTCACCCAGACCTAATAAGAAATCTGAAAAAAAAAGACATTTTAAAAATAATGCAGCCCCTAGAATAAGATAAATTTAAAAAGCTCCACGTTCACAATATCCCTATGAGTTCAAAACAATGGCCACAACCACACCTACAACAACCTACTACTCTGTATCAGGCACTGTACCAAGCATTTTGTATGAATCATATCTCCATCTCCACAACTCTATCAAGTGGGTACTATTGATGCCCATTTTCAAATTAGGAAACTGAGGCATAGAAAAGTAAATTTCTCCAGGTCACACAGTTATAAGTGGGAGAGGTCAAAATTCAAACCCAGGAAGTATGAAGTCAATAAGAAAAACAAATAGATGTTTCAATTTATCAGGTTTTTACTCAATTTTCAAGTCCATGAAATCTTGGAGTCATGAAGCCTTTTTAGCATTACTGCCCAAATAGTGACCAAATATATAAGAACAAGTAAGAACTAAATAAGATCCTCATCAGGAAAGATACTTTGTACCTAGTGTGGTACAAAGTATGTATGTATCAGTACTTCAGAGGGTTTCCTACCATGAATCTTTCCTGTCAAATCCCACATATGGAGAAAAGGCTGGCTGATCTGAGATCAGACTTCAGAATATTATTTTAACATTGGAAAGATGTTGTTTTCAACACAACAGCATGGAAATTTCCCCTGATTTATATATAATCATACATAAGGTAAAGTAGGAAATTAGTCTCCTTGCTTATTATCAAGATTATATTTTTTAATTTGTAAAGGATGATTTTTAAAAGTATCCAAGGGAGGGCTGTTGTGGCCTCACACATGTGAGGCTTTGGGTTAAAAGATTCACAATTACTGTTCTAGAACCATTGGAAAATAGGCAAACTTAACTTTGGATATAATTAATTTTCAACACAAGTTGTAAATAGTAAGAACTATAAATCAAATCAAAACATTATTTGGACCATTATGGTGGCGCACGCCTGTAATCCCAGTGGCTCCAGAGGCTGGGACGGGAGGATCGTGAGTTCAAAGCCAGCTTCAGCAATTTAGTTCAGGTGCTAAGCAACTCAGTGAGACCCTGTTTCTAAATAAAATACAAAATAGGGCTAGAGATGAGGCTCAGTGATCAAATGCCCCTGAGTTCAATCCCCAGTGCAAAAAAAAAAAAACATTATGTTGGGGGTACTGGGGATATAGCTCAGTTGGTACAGTGCTTGTCTTGCATGCACAAAGTCCTGGGTTCAATCCTCAGCACAACACAACAAACCAAAAAGAAAAAAAAAATATGTGGGTAGACCAATTTAATTATTAAAAGTAAAATCAAAATATCAGTTTTCTTTGAAATCATTTTGGTATGAAGTATTCTGATTAATTTTAGAGCGCTAAATCAAGTAATATTTTAAGTGAAGGAAATTCATCCACTACAAATCAAGTTAAGGAAATGTCACATTAAATTAAAAATGGCATAAAACTTTTTAATGGGAAGGACATCCATTGAAAATAAAAAGTGAGGGAGAAGCTACTAGAAAGCTGAGACAGGAGGATTAAAAGTTCGAGGCCATCCTGGGCAACTTAGCAAGACTCTGTCTCAAAATAAAAAATAAAAATGGCTAGGCAATTTGGTGGTAAAGTGACCCTAGGTTCAATCCCAGGACCCTCCCCCGCCAAAAAAAAAAAAAAAAAGTGGAGTATAGAGCAAATCATGCATACACAAAGAAGACACAAAGAAGTAAGGAAATTGTAACAGGTCATGTCATTAAAAGTAAATGAGCCAGGTATGATGGTGCACCCCTGAAATCCTAGCTACTCAAGAGGCTAAGGCAGGATGCAAGTTTGAGGCCAGCCTGGGCAATTTAACAAGGCCTATTTCAAAATAAAATTAAAAAAAAAAAAAAAAACAGGGCTGGGAATTGGGAATGTAGCTAAGTGGCAGGGTGCTTGCATAAGATCTGATACCAAAAAAAAAAAAGGTTACCTAGAAATGCTACACCATTGACAGATCAGGAAAATATATCCAGAAAAGAAATAATGCTTTTATTTTCCTTTTAATACATGTCATGGTACATAGAAAGAAGTATGACTTTAACTGGAAATCATGAAATGAAACTTATAAATTCTATAAATAAATCATGGAATCATTTCTTGTGAGTCTAAGGAAACTCAGGAAAGCAATAGCCTAGCTACCAAAGATTGACTGACCATATCAAGAGATTCATTGTGAGACTATAATGACTTTAACTTTATAATCTGTCACATATTTTTAAAAATCCAAATTTTATAAAACTTCTCAAGTTAAATTATGTTACTTTAATTTTAAAAAATTCCTTCAAAATTTATTTTCTAACAGCATAATCCAAACTGGATGAGAAACATGATAAAATTAGTAATAAACTTTATAAATTGGGGCTGGGGATGTGGCTCAAGCGGCAGAGCGCTTGTCTGGCATGCGTGCGGCCCGGGTTCGATCCTCAGCACCATATACCAACAAAGATGTTGTGTCCGCCGAGAACTAAAAAATAAATATTAAAAATTCTCTCTCTCTCTCTCTCTCTCCTCTCTCACTCTCTCTTTAAAAGAAAAAAACTTTATAAATTGTGATAAGCAAATTGCCACCAACATAAACAAGAATAGCATATTACTCTTCAAGAAAAATATGTAACTAAAAGAGCATTATAATTTGTTTTCTCTCTGTGTTTTCTAATTTTACATTACCTAAGATAACTTCCTCACTGTGGCAAGAAAAGAGATTTTAGTTCTTTATGTCTAATATTGCACTTTATTCTCAAAACAAAACTCTTGATTTTATGAAACAAGAATAAATATCAAAATATTTGCTTTTATATTTAAATTTAAAATATTTTGCTTTAATAAAGAAATGCTGGAACACTCCTTAACATGCTTAACAAACATAAGAGTTTTTTATGCATGTTTCATGCATACATGTTTTGTTTCAGAAACCATGCTTTCCAAAAGTAATTTCTGTCACACAATTCGAGATATTAATATAAAACAATGATTCCTGATGTATAATTTAAATGATCATAAAAATACATGTGTTTAAAAAATAATTGATTAACCAGAAAATTACATTTCATTTCAATTATAACATGAAATACTACAATAAAGGTATAGCTTAGTGTATACTCTAAAACATCAGCAATTACATCAAATTTTTAATATGTATTTTTAGCACATTGTAAAATAGAATGTATGACCATTAGCCAGAAAATATACAAAGAGTATTTGATCAGAGGTTTCCATATAATTGCCATGAAATACTATACAAGACCCAACATGCAGTTAAATCTTTAACATTCTTTAAGTTAAAGTGCTTTAAGGTGATACATGATTAGGATTTCAGACAATGTAGCTAAAAGTTCAAAATTAACATCTTAAATGAAAACTTGAAATACTGTGAGAAACAGCAGCATTATTCACAGTCTTACCGAAGAGAGTTCATCACATCCCAGTAATGTGTAGTAATCTTCACTATCGTCCAACCTGTAATTCAGTATTGCATCCATTTAGATCAGTAAATCAGCTTCTCTCAGAAACAAGAGACACGATGAGCTTCAAATTAATAGGAAAACCCTCTTTAAATCTGAATGACGAAGGCACGTTCCAAACAGCAAAAGCTAGCTTTAAGACTGATCACAGTCAATACACCGGATGTCAGTCTAGACCTTTGTAAACACTACCTCTCACTGGCTATTTGCTGAGGAAAAAAGAATAGACCACATGCTTGGCGTTGCAGTGCTGCCTGGGATCTGTAGTTTCTGAAGTGGTGAGATCAACACATAAGATGAATCTTATGTGTTAGTAAAGCCTTTTTTGTAATTCCACAAATTGGTCATCTTGTCTTTTTCTATATATTTTTATCTTTTCTTCTTCTTTTTTAAGAAACAGAAGAAAATTTGAAACAGTGTAGCAAAATTTTAGGATTTATTAGATGAGAAATGAGTATTTTGCATATTTAGAACATTTTGTAATGGGGTGGAGAGGGGCGGCTAGAGAGTGTATAACACTTACCCAGTATGCTCCATGTCCTGGAGTCAATCCCTGGAACAAAAACAAACAAACAAAAAAGGTAATTTTTACAATAATCTTAGAGTGGAAGAAAATAAAAACTAGGGTAGCAAGCTCTCATTTGTTTAATAATACTCATTTAATAAATATTTTTGAGGACCTATTTTATGCTCACACAAATTCTTGATTCATGTAGAATTTTTTTTGGGGGGGGTAGGAAAGGGGCTGCTGGGGGTGAGACTCATGACCTGTGAATGCTAGGTAAGGGCTTTTCCACTGAGATACACCCCCATACTCTAGAGGTTTCCTTCTGATAGAGAAAGAGAAAGGATAAACTAAGCAGAAACAGGGTTATTTAAAATAGTGTTTTGTTCTATACAGGAAATAGAGGACAGTAAGAAGGAAAATCATATGATAACCTGAGTCAGATTGTTGCACCATTTGTCCTGGGCTGGCTTTCTCCAGGTTCGGGTATATAGAGTGGGTCTAGCAAACTTGTATTTCAATTCATTTTGTCCATTGGAAAGGCAGCCTCGCCCTGGGATTCAGAGGTGAGTAGTCAGGCATAGATCCACTGTACAGGCTTATCCTTACTTAGTTGCTAAGGCTGGCCTTGAATTTACAATCCTCCTGCCTCAGCCTCCCCAGTAGTTAGGATTATAGGTATGTGCCACTGCACCCAGCTTGCCTAAACGATTCAAATCACCCCATAAGTTATAACTTTAGAATAAAAAATCCTGTTTCATCTAGCCCACCTGTACAAATCTTATTTAAGGTTTATTTCTGAAGAGAAGCAGGAATAAGAACTGAAAGCACCATTGTTACTAATCTTTCATTATCTATGCTCTCTTCCCAAAAGTTCCGTTTGAGATTTTAAAACAAACTGCAATTACTTCTTGTTTTGGAAATTTTCCCACATCCCTTGAGGTATGTGGATTTCTGTTTGGGTATCACAAAATCTTAATCAGAATCACTGATGGCTGTCCTTTACATGATGTGAAATTGCTGCTTTGAAAAACAACATGGTGGTCTCCCCAAAATTAAACATAGAACTACCACATGCTCCAGCCATTTCACTTCTGAGTATAAACACACAACTCACGGCATTATTCATAATAGGTAAAAGGTGAAGGCAACCTCTATGTTCATCAAGAGATGAGTAAACAAAATATGGAGGGGATGGGGATGTAGCTCCGTGGTAGAGTGCTTTGCCTAGCACGCAGGGAACCCTGGGTTCAATTCCAGCAGTGGCACCACCACCACCACCAGCAACAACAACAAACACAAACACACACTTATGGAGATACACATATATGTGGGATATATATATATATATATATATATATATATATATATGGAATATTAATCAACCTTGAAAGGCTTAAAAAGAAATTGTGAAACTTAAAGACATTATGCTTCATAGTGAAAGCAAAATGACAAATACTGCCTTGTTCCATTTATTTGAGGTATCTATAGTAACTGAATTCATGGAGACTGAAGTAGATGTCACTAGGGGGTAGGGAGAGAGGTAAATGGGGTCATTTTTTTAAGTGGGCACAGAGTTTCAGTATGGGAAGATGAAAAAAGTTCTGAAGATGGATGATATTAATAGCTTCACAACAATGTAAATGTACTTAATGCCACTGAACTGCACACTTAAAAATGGTCAAATGAAGTCAGATACAGTGGCAATGACCTCAGCCACTTGGAAGGCTAAGGCAGGAGGATCACAAATTCAAGGCCAGCCTCAATGATTCAGTGAGACCCTCAGCAACTTAGTGAGGAGTATTTCAAAAGAAATTAAGAAAAACAAACAGCTGGGGATGAAGCTCACTGGTAGAGCGCCCTTGGATTCAATTCCCAGTACCAAAACAAATGAACAAATAAAGGTTGAAAGGATGGTGTGGTGGCACACACCTGTAATCCCAGTGACTCAGGAAGCAAGAGGATTGCAAGTTCAAGGCAAGCCTGAGCCAATCTAGTAAAACTCTGTCTCAAAATTTAAAAAAAAAAAAAAAAAAAAAATTTAAAGGGGTGGGAATGGGGGCTGGGGATATGGCTCAAGCGGTAGCGTGCTCACCTGGCATGTGTGCGGCCCGGGTTCGATCCTCAGCACCACATACAAACAAAGATGTTGTGCCTGCCGATAACTAAAAAATAAATATTAAAATTCTCTCTCTCTCTCTCTCTTTAAAAAAAATAAAAAAATAAAAAAATAAAAATAAAGGGGTGGGAATGTAACTCAGGGATAAAGTCCCCCTGGGTTCAATTCCCTATACCTCAAAAAGAAAGTTAAATGACAATTTTGGCATGATACGTATCTTACTGCAATTAAAAATAAATAAATAAAAGAGGGCTTAGTGGTAAAGTACTTCTCTTGTATGAGTGAGGCTCTGGATTTGATCCCTAGCAGTCCCCCACGCCCCTACCCCCCACCCCCTGCACACACCAAAAAAGATGATGTGAAATACCTCAAAGACAAAACTCTGACCAGAAAGGAAAGAAATAAGTGTTGTTCTTTTGTTTTGTTTTGTTTTGTTTTTGTTTTTAATTTAATTTTATTTTATTTTGTACTGGGGATAAAACCAGGGGTACTCTACCACTGTGCTACATCCCAGTCTTTTTTATGTTGAGAAAGGTCCTGGTGAAGTTGCTGAAACTGGCCTAGAACTTGTGATCCTCCTGCCTTCTCCTCCAAGTTGCTGAGATTACAGGCCTGCCATGAAACAGTCTGTACCTGGCAAAAGTGTGGTTCTTGAGAATAGTCAGGACAATGCTTTAATGTTGTTCTGAAGAACAGGAACAATAAAAGATGTTTATGAAAGGAATTTTGGTAAAGCAGATGTTATTAACTCATGGACTATTTTTCCTAGACCATCATGTTCTCATTCTGAAGTCTGAAGTTAGTAGATTTACAGACGTGCTCAACAACTGCAGAAGAAATTTGTACATTCTTTCTGAAATGTAAATTGGTATGTCATAAATTAAAGAGTTTTAGGTAGTGCATGTCTATAATCCAAGCAACTCAGGAGGCTGAAGCAGGAAGATTATAAATTTCAGGCCAGTCTGGACAATTTAGTCTCAAAATAAATATAATGGTCTGGGATGCAGTTCAGTGGTTAAATACCCCTGGGTTCGATTCCCAGTCACAAAAAAAAAAAAAAAAAAAAAGTTAAAAGAGCTTTCTTTACATGATCTTTGTTAAGCAATTCCATACCCAGGAATTTATTCAAATATTATAATCAAGAAAATGTGCAGATATAGCAATAATGATGGTTATCTTAACCAAGATACAGTTACCACAGTAAAAGTTTTTGAGAAAAAAAATGAAATGTCCAGCAATCATATAAATAACGTCACATATAGTAACATACTATGAAGTCATTTCGTGGTGGGGGGAAGGGTACCACGGATTGAACTCAGGGGCACTCAACCACTGAGCCACATCCCCAGCCCTATTTGTATTTTATTTAGACACAGGGTCTGAGTAGCTTAGTGCCTCTTGGAACTCGCGATCCTCTTGCCTCAGCCTCTCCAGCCACTGTGCCAAGCACTATGAAATAATTTTAACCATTGTAGAAACAATACAATTTCTAGAAAATGCTCACACTCTGTTTTTAAGAGAGAAAAAATAAATCACAAAACAGTCTGTACTATGTAAAGTTCACTGAGCACTGAGACTTATTTACCTTATTAAGTATAAATTATACCTTGATTAAAAGTATAAAAAAGAAACTATGTTTATTTTCATTTTTTTGTTGTTGTTGTTGATGAGAATTGAACCCTGGGCCTTCCCTGTGCTAAGCACACACTCTTTCATTGGATCTACACGCTCAGCCTCTTTTAAATTTAAATTTAAGCAAATACACTGGTGTACGTCTGTAATCCCAGTGAATCAGCAGGCTGAAGCAGGAGGATCACAAGTTCCAGGCCAGTCTCAGCAACTTAGCAAAACCATAACAACTCAGAGACCCTGTTTCTAAATAAAATATAAAAAAGGGCTGGGGATGTGGTTCAGTGATTAAGTGCCCCTGTGTTCAATCCCTAGTAACACAAATAAATAAGTAAACTTTAAAAGTACATATAGTATGGTTCCTGTGTTACGAATATACATTGTGTGCATATTTATAAAATATGAGAAATTGTATACTCCAAAATATGACATGTTATTACTAGAGGTTATAACTCACTCTGGGGTCATCGAAGATTTACAGTTTATTCTTTTTATTCATCTACATTTATTTTTTTATTAGTTGCTCATGACAATACAACGATCTTGACATATCATACATTTGAATCAACTGGGGTATAAGAAACAGTAAGAAGCAATCAGTAAAAGCTACAAATTGCCAAAGGTCACATAGCAATTTACTTACTTAGTAGAGATGACCATTCAGAGAGCCTGTTTCAAGGACTTCTTTGGTCTGCTTTGATTTTATAGCGCATTTTGCGTTGGCTGCGTCGTTGGCCAATTAACTCACCCTTTGAAGCTCACAGTACACTGCGCAGTTGACAAAGAAGAATGAAATGGGGGCTGCGGGTGTAGCTCAGTGGTAGAGGACTTACCTGGCATAAGTTGGATACTCGGCACCACCAAGAAAAGAATTAAGAAATTTTAAATAAACCCTCCCATTATTGCCTGGAATCATATAGAGCGATGAAAGAACCCTGAACTCTACTCTATATTCCTTGAATAGGGTTTATCTTAAACACCAGATTCTTATTTCATTAAATTAATTGAGAGCACAAGATTGATCCTGATGAAACTTTAGCACATCACATAACGAAACGCCAAATCATGCAGCTTCGAGTGAAAGTTTAATTGTAGTTCATAAAAACATTCACAAAGTACATGGAAAAAAAAAACGACGAGGGGGCAGGAAGCATCGCCCGTCCTAGGACTACAACTCCCACAAGGCACAGCGGGAACGGCGCCGAAGGGGCGACGGGGGAACGTGCCATTGCTTAGGTCTCCCGGGCGCCACCCCTCGGCAAGTTCTGTATTTACTTGAAATTCGTAGTCTGGAGATGGTAAGAGAAAGATACCTGAAACATCTCAAAGGAAAGAAAGAAAGGCTGGGAGCTAAGAGGCTGCAAGGCCCAGAATCTCTGAGCGAGGACAGAATATTAGCCAACCCCCAGGGGGCCTTGCGCCGCCCCCAGAGTCCGTTCACCCAGACAGCGCCCTCTGCGGGCCCCGCGTTTCTCTCCAGCCTCGCGCCGGGTCTCTGTCGTGCAGAATGGCACTGACGCCTTCCCTTTGCCGTTCTGACACATTCTGGTTTCCCAGACGCAAACCCAAATTCCAGAGACGGTACCTGCAACCCTTCGTCCTGGTTTCCCACAACACAGCGCCCCCCACCCCACCCCCTCACAGCCTGGAAGGCTGGAGACCCCTGGGCGCTCGGTACCAGGGCTCGATGCGACTTAGCGCCCGGCCCTCAGCCTGCTCTTCAGAGGCTACTGATCCGTTCGAGCTCAAGGTCCATTGGAAAGAAAACCGTCTTTCCAGGACCTTACATGCCCTAGGCTTCTGTCCCTCCATTTTGTAAAACAGGGAATACGATCCTCGCTGTCTTACGAAAGCAAAAAAGCGTCCCGACCCAAGAATAGAATGTGTTGAAAAGTTCTGTTAAGTCAAACATAAAAAAAGGATTTATAAGTAGTCTTCAAAGATTGTTGGACTATTTGGAAGTTGTAATCAGGTGTGATGACAAATGCTATTAATCCCATTGTTAAGACTAATAATAGTGCACAGGATGTTAATAATAGGGTTTTTTGTGGAGTTGGGGAGACGGGGTGTCTGGGAACTCTGTACTTTCCACTCCATTATGTTGTGAACCTAAACTGCTCTAAAAAAATAATTTTGGGTGGGGGGGTTGGTTCATTTTTGTATGTGTGATGCGAGGGTTCTAACCCGGGGCCTCAGGCATGCTAGGCACCGTCTTGTACCACTGAGCTACACCCCCAGCCCCAGTTTTATTCATTTTTAAACAGTAACAGTAGGGAGTATAATAACCACCTGTCAAAAGACAAAGTTACAGCAAATGTAGCGTAAGGGGTCTTAATTGACTTGTCCGCAGTTCTAGAATCAAGCAACAACTCAGTTGAGATGAGCTGAGCAGGATGGCTTTATGGGCAGAAAAAGGCTGAGAAAAGCAGCAACAGAACAAAAAGCTGATGGGTGGTTTCGAAGTTGCTTTCTCTGTAAAGGTTAAAGCAGAGGGAACTTACTTCCTAATTATGCTAGCTAACACGGGTCTAATTGGGGGATTTGGCTATGTTCTCTCCCTGTCTCCTGGCTTCCTCTCCCCTGATGTCTTGGAAGGTGATAGAATGGGGATCCACCTCACGCTTTGAGTATAAACCTTGCTGCCTGACCACCGGTTGCTTATTTTAAAACTGGCAATTCCGCCCTTTTCTTCCTTTCCCTCTCCCCCTTCCTAAAAGCAAGGGAAACAAGCTAGCATTTTTTCCCTGTCCCAGGCTAAACTAAGGCATGCTTCACTGCCTAAAGAATATCACTGCCCACAAGAATAAACAAACTCCAAACCCGGGAACTGGAGCAATGACTCTCTCCAGGATACCCCCTGGAACTAACTTATCAATTATATCTACTGATAACATTCCTATCCCAGCTCTTATATTCTTTTTTTATTTGGTTTTGGTTTTGTTTTGGTACCAGGAATTGAACCCAGGGAAGCTTTACCCCTGAGCTACATCCCCAAACCTTTTTTTTTTTTTTTTCAGTTGTAGATGACACATACATTTTTTTTTTTTTTTTTTTTTAGTGTAGTGCCGGGGATCAAACCCAGTGCCTCACACGAGCTAGGCAAGCACTTTACCACTGAGCCACAACCCAGCCCTACCCACACCTTTTTCTTCTTTTCTTTGAGACAGTCTCACTAACATTGCTGACACTAACCTCAAACTTGGCAATCCTCCTGCTTCAGCCTCCCAAGTCATGTTCCTCTTTTTAAAGCCCGGTGTTCCCCCCTGGCAGGAAAAATTACAGCCTCTTGGGTAGGAATCCCCTGTGTTTTTCCTTTGTTAGCAAATCGGTGAAACTTTTTTTCTTTTTTATCGAAACAGAGACAAGGACTGAGTTTCCAGAATCAATCAGATAAAAAGACTTAATTTTAGCTTGGTGATATTGAACTTCAGCACGAGTAATCCCATTTTGGTTTCATCTGTTAAGCCTTGAGAAGAAAATCAGACCAAATCAATGGCCTCCTATAAATTTTAAAACTCTCCAATTATATGCCAGTGGTAAAGATAGGGTTTAAACCCTGCCGTGTGTGACTTCAAAGTCCGTGGTGAGGAAAGTGAATAAAACACTATAGCACCCTATGTGCATATGTGTACCTGTGTAACTCTACATCATGGACTACCAGACAAATAAGAAGTTATACTCCACTTATGTATGATGTGTCACAATGCTGTCATGTATAACTAATTAGAACAAATTTTTAAAAATTAAAAAAAAACACTACATCATATTATCTGGCAAATTTTGGCATGGTACAAAATGCACTAGACAAAGTGTCAGGAGACCTGATTTCCAGTATCAGATCTCCACTGACTCCTTGCTGCGCCATGTCTTCTTGATTTGTGAAGGATATTGGGCCAAAAGAGTAATTCTCAAACTTTAAAGTGCTCCTAAATCACCTAGAGATCTGGTTAAGATACAGCTTTTAGCTGGGAATATAGCTCAGTGGTAGAGTGCTTGCATAGTGTGTTTAAGGCCCTGGTTTGATCCCCAGCACTTAAGAAAAAAGATGCAAATTTTGCTTCACGATGTCTGGGTAATGTCTGTGATTTCTAACAAGCACCCAAGGGAAGTTCATGCTTATCTAGGGACCACATTTGGAATAGCAAGGGGCAGAGTGAATGATGTCTGAGATCTTTTCAGCCTCTAACACATGTGCAATCATTATTTACCTCTAACCTTAATACCTTTACTCTCAGATATTAAAAGATCTGTCAGAAAGGAGATGAGGGGGTCTGGGATTGTGGCTCAGTGGTAGAGCACCTGTCTCCCATGTGTGAAACCCTGGGTTCAATCCTCAGTACCACATAAAAAATAAATAAATGTATTGTGTCCATCTACAACTAAAAACTATTAAAAAAAAAAACGGTAAGGGACTAAATAGGAATTTGAAGCCAAAAAATTTAAACTATTTTTATGATAATAATATCTCGGGAAGGGCTGGGAGTGTAACTTCATGGTAGAGTATTTGTCTAGTATGCTTATAGCCCGGGGTTTGATCCCCAGCACTGCCCAAAATAAATAATAAAAATAATAATATCTCTGGAAGAATATACAAGAAACTCATAAGAGTAGTTATTTTTATGGGGGTGGGGACTAGATGGGCTGAGTACAGAAATTGGAGATAAACTATACTGGATCCTTTTTTATTCTTTAGGAATTTTTACTATGTGTTTCCAATTTTTAAAAATTTGTGTTGGGGGAGATAGAGGGAAATCAAGCCCATGGCATCCTAAACATGCATTTTACTACCACCACTCCCTTAATTTGTTATTGTATATAGAAAAGTAGTTAATACACCATCTGTTAGTAAAGGAACAATTCACAAAATTATTACTTTGGGTCTTCTATTTAACAGATTTATTTGAAAGAGTTAGAATGAAATTCTTTTGAGAATGACTAGGAAACAAGCACTTAAATATCCCCCTATTTTTTTTTTTTCTTCTCAACCAGAATTGTGGTGAAGTATATTAGTAGTCAGGTAGTAATCAGATAATGAAGATAGTTACAGGTAAATAATTACTTAAAGGCATGAGTCTGGATATGATTACTCATGAGATAACAGTTAAGATATGTGATTCCAGGGCTGGGGATGTGGCTCAAGCTGTAGTGCGCTCGCCTGGCATGCGTGCGGCCCAGGTTCGATCCTCAGCACCACATACCAACAAAGATGTTGTGTCTGCCGAGAATTAGAAAATAAATATTAAAAATTCTCTCTCTCTCCTCTCTCACTCTCTTTAAAAAAAAAAAGAAAAAAATATATGTGATTCCCTGATTCCAAGAACCTAGACCAGTGGTCCTCTGACTGTACTTTATAATCACTTAGTACTTTGTATGATTAAAATAAGGACATGATTTTATGAACCATATAGTGTATTTCCATACAAATAGATAGGTTTTTTTTCACAATGCTTAAAGAGGGAAAATAAGAACAAATGTCACAAGGAATTCACTCAATAGATGAGGTAAATTAACCGTAGAATGATAAGTTTCAATTTCACCCAATTATTAAAGTCTAGTTGCTCAAGTAGGATGGAAGTAGTTCTCTGTGGATTTAAAATTTAATCAAAGTTTGAGGCTTACCATCCTACAAGAGGGTCTCAAGAGAAATGAATTGACCAGTGCAGCAGAGACCTACAAGGTCCCTTCATTCTAGAAAGGGACGCTAGTATTGCAGGGCAAGGCATCAGAATGACCTCAAAGGCTGATAGAAAGTAACCTTGCCACAGACTGTTTTCAGTGTCTGTCAAAATCCTCAGTTTATATATATTCTAAAGTCTAATAGTTGAGACCAATCACTCACATATGTGGAGTGGCAAAACATCCTCATGGGGAGGGAAAGTAAATTCCATATTGTTCCTATCACAGCAAAATATATGTCACTTGCATAGCAAACTTTGTAAGTATCTATTGGGTTTATTTCTTTCCTTTTTGCAGTGTTGGGGATTAAGCCAGGGCCTTCCACATACTAGGCAAGCACTCTACCCCTGAGCTGCATATCCAGCACTATGTAAGTATTTGGAATTATTCCTTGGAACCACCAGATGACCCAGCTTTACCAGTCCTTGGTATTTCTTCTAAAGAGTTAAGGTCATCATAATGTAGCAATACATGCATACCCATATTTTTTGTTTGCATATCCATTTTTTATAGCAGCCAGATTTACAATAGCCAAACTATGAAACTAGCATAGGTGTGCATCGATGAATGAGTGGATAAAGAAAATATGGTATAGGGCTGGGGATGTGGCTCAAGCGGTAGCACGGTTGCCTGGCATGCATGCGGCCCGGGTTCGATCCTCAGCACCACATACAAACAAAAATGTTGTGTCCGCCGAAAACAAAATTCTCTCTCTCTCTCTCTCTCTCTCTCTCTCTCTCTCTCTCTCTTTAAAAAAAAGGAAAGAATATATGGTATATATTTACAACAGAGTTTTATTCAGCCATAAAGAATGAAATGATGTCATTTATGGGAAATGGATGAACTTGAGAACAAACACTGTGTTAAGTGAAATAAGCCAAACTCGGAAAGTCAGGGGTTGTATGTTTTCTCTCATATGTGGAAACTAGAGAG